AGGATTCCTGCATATACCCTGTTATTATTGTTATCATTATTATTGTCATACTATTGTTTATTATTATCATTATTAATGTTACTATTATCTCCTTGTTTGTTTCTATTTATTTATTTTCCTCCGAGAGGATTGTTTGTTACGAGAGGGAGGGAAGGGATTTTACGACTGTTATTATTTGTTCATTGTGTATTGTTTATTGAAAACGACCAAAAACTCAATAAATACAATTTTTTGAAAAAAGAAAAGGCTCATCCTATGTAAACAAAAACACAAGTGTTCTATTCACGTGTTTAAACAGTTTTGAATATTATATTAAATTTTTGAAAATATATCCTTTTAAATGTTACACAATAGACCTTTAATGATTTCCTCATTGCCCATCAATGTAAAAATATGGGCGAATCCTTGATAATGTAATAACGGTATGGTTTCGTGTTCATCCATTTAAGATTAAAAATTTCAGTTCACAAAAATGAACAGAATTTGTACTTCCACAATTCTCGTCAGTCACAAGGTAGCGACGCCCTAAAGCAGACCCCGCTTTATCGCCTATTTTACTCTAAATGGGACCATAGTTATACATACTAAAGGAACATCATGCTGTATGGAAGAAGATTTGAAACTAGAGATTGAGAACATAAAGTCATTCGAAAACTTTCTCTGGCTCAGAGGTAGAGCGTGTTTTCTACTAATCGAAAGGTTGTTGGTTTGATCCCGGCTCCTCCCTCCCGCGTGTCGAAGAATTTTTGAGCAAGATAGTGAACCCCAAATGTGGATGTGCATGAATGAGTTAGTTTCTGTTCACTGTCTGAATGTGTATGAAAGGGCACATAGTGTAAAAGCGCTATGGTTGAATTAAATTAATGTAATCTAACACCCACATCTACTCACCTACTCACTACTCACCCACTCATCTACATTGATTTAGAACTTTGGTTTATTCAGGAAATCCATGAGCTGATGTTGAAATACCATGTTGTTTTAATCCTGTATCAGTTCTGCCACAAAACACAGTAGGCAACACAATAACTGATCCAACATTGCAGTATAATCATTCAGAAAATGAACTATATCAAACATATATTGTGTCGATGACAAAGTTAAAAGTAAAAACATTATCACCGTCAAGCACCTAAATCTACCAGAGCTCATAATGTGTCAATCTAAGTAATTTAGCATAATTACATCTGTTTAAACATTTATCTATTTTTGGATATTTATTATTATTATTTATAGTTCAGGAAAGAAAAGCAATTGATTCTTGATGGAGCGTGTTTTCATACATAAAACTAATTCAACATGCTTGACATAAAGCATGAGGTACAATCAGTAAGACATGCAGCATAGGATAAAATGATACAAATATTAAAAACATGGAAATGCATGAATGCCAGTGCTGGGTAGATAAACTCTAAATGCCTATGGAAAAGTTCAAATCTATGGAGAAGAGTTAGGTACACTTAGCTAAAACTAATATAGTCTGAGCCTGCGATCACGTCATGATGCATTGTTACAAATACGCTTCCAGCAAAACTATTGTTTCCTATGCCTATGGTACAGTGCACCTGACGTGTGCTCCTCTTGTGGTGCGTTTTTGTATACTACGTGATGTGCTTGCATTATTTGACTGAATTTGACTGTGAGGAGTATTTTTACAAATAGCTGCAGCTAACTAGCAACCTAAGCACCAACAGTCTGTTAGGAGTGTGCATGTGTTACATATGTCTGTATGACAGCCTCTGACTGATCTCAGTTCTTACCAGACCCCTCTGCTTTTGCTCTCTCTGTAATAGTGGAGTCCTTAGAATAAATGCCAGTTTTTCACTCAAGTTGGAAAACTTGCATGGATGCATTTTTGCCTCAGTCTGTGCCAACCAGAGGGGAATACCTGTCTCCTTGGTATCAGGCTTTTAGTCTGTCCCTAAGTGAGTAATTACGTTACATAATTGGTCACTGAGTGATGGTGTGGGCCTCCATACACATGAGATGACACATGAGCTGTGAGCGTGCAGAGGCGTTTATGCTCCACGTCTATCTGTTGCTGTGTTCTCCAAAACGCCAGAGGCCCAACAAACACAGCATTCTGTGGGGTGGCTATGGTTGCTATTTAATGTAAGCTAGCAGGGCGGCTATGGCTCAGAGGTAGAGCGTGTTGTCCACTAATCGGAAGGTTGGTAGTTCGATCCCCGGCTCCTCTTGCTGCACTGCATTTCGAAGTGTCTTTGAGCAAGGCCCCAAATTGCTCCTGTTGGGTGCACACTGTGTATGAATGTTTTAGTTTCTGTTCAATGGGCTTTGCCATCAGTGAATGTATGTGAAAAGGCGAATGTGGCTTGTAGTGTAAAATTTAATTTTTTAATTCAATTACATTTTATTTGTATAGCGCCAATTCATAACAGAAGTTATCTCAGGACACTTTTCAAATAGAGCAGGTCTA